ATGGTCTCGAATTTCTTTAGTTAAATGTGTGTTTTAAGAAAATAATAAAAGAAACCGACGTTCACAATCTTATGACAATAATCACTAAAATGGAAGGGTCGGTTGGGTATCACTAATGCGGGGTTGCTTTATTTATGGGACAATTTGTTATCCCTTACGAGCCTATATAGTATGTTAATGAAATATGGATTAAAAAAAAAACCAATTAAATAAAGAAGAAAGAAACTATTTTCATTAAAATGAATAGTTTTTAAATAACAAACATTAAGACGTTGAGGAAGAGCTTGTATTGTTTGCTTTTTAATAACTAGGATTATTTTAACTAGATTATTCATTAGTCATTGATTGTTAACGTAGTGTTATTATACTTTTCTTTTTTCTCTTTGGTTATATTTAATAAAAATATATTTTACATTTATTAGTATCAAATTATATTATATTTATACACAGTCTTATTTCACTTAATAAATACAGTTACGACTATTTGTATTCATTCTAAGAAAGGAACGAAAAATTTAAATATTAGTTGTTTGCGCAACAAATTCCCTTAGTTTTATTGACATGGACCTGAAAACAGACACATTTGTCTTGGACTTAGCTAGAATGATAAAAATAACGCTTATAGCAATAACTTGATACGAGTTAATAACACAAAACAGGGTTATTAGAGTTGTATACGCATAATAATAAAATGACAATATATCCGTAACTAAAACTTGTAGACTTGTTATACAAATTAATATAAATGCAACGATTGCAGTTTTAACGAAGTCTTTGATATTCCGCGAGGTGGAATTACCTCTTTTAATGGCAACACTGAAAATCTCAAAAAATATCAGCGCGTTAACAACAATAACAAATAATTTTAAATGCGCATAAACTTTGTAGTATATTTTAAAGCAACCTTTATTTTTTAGCTTTAATAGAAAGGGACATATTAAACCTATCGGCAAAGACAACATCCATATGAAGCCCGACATGACAAGTAAACTCGGCTTTTCAACTGCGAAAACTAAGACCACTTTATTGTACAAGTTCTTGGAGAACACAAACATCCACAGCACTAGTACAAGGTCTGTCTGCATGTACATCGTGTAGATTATATCCTTGATGATAACACTGGTGCCTTTGGTGTACATTATGTTGTATTCACAGATTGTGTTTAGCGTCCTTGCGATGGTCAATTGTAACAGAACTTTTTCGTCGAACTTCCTGCATTTCGGTATGAGGAAGAAGAAGCCGATTTTCGAAACCATTCCGATTATGGACACACCTATCCCCACCAGCCAGATAATTTGAAACACTTCATCAAGCTCCGGGTCAGGTTTTGATTTCAGAGGAGCTGTCGCGTTACGAGTGGCATTTGTCATTTTCCGAATACTACACTGTTACAGCCCGAATGAGAACAAACAATAACTTGAAACTCCATCGCTCGGCGATTTTATCAGGCCATCATGGCTCTTTGAAACAGATGAAAGTGACATTTTTTTGTGTGATTATAGAACGCTGTTCTTATATCTACAAAATGAACGACGCTATTGTGAACGGGCAATGGATATTGAGTTATGATATTTTGCCGTTTTACACCCTCCTATATGGCTGTTTTATTATCATTAAAGAGGTCGTGTTACGCCCATCTGGCACTAAATTATTGCGTGTGAGTCTAATTAGTGTCCACAACAGGCAACACAATCATTTGAGAGAACATCCCATTTAGTTTGTGGGTAACGTATGTATAAGTATTAATTTATGTTAGTAAGGTGATATTTTAATAACCCGGATCAATTTAATGATTAGATCTGATTTGATAGGTATGAAATTATGTCTGTAAAGTAAATAAAAATTTATTATTAAATACAAGCTTCCGACAATAATATTTTTATGTTTATTGGCTGAGATGCGAACAGTCGTAGCGGGAATTATTTTAGTACAGTCAAATGAGTGTATTGAATTAGTATTTTGGCAATCAAAGCAACATTAATAAGGCCAAGTTTGTTCTGTTTGAAGGACAAGGGCGGACTACGGAGAGTCACGGGCAATAAATAACCTGAGACCTCAGATCATAGAAATTCTATGATCTGAGACTGAGACACAATTACAATTACGTAACATAGTAGGTACTTTATAACATTTATTAAAATGTCGTAGTGTTTTTTAAGGGCGACAGAAAGAAACTAAGTCAGAAGATGTGTAGCAGCATCCTCTTAATAAATTATAAAAAAACGGCGGTTGCCAGTCTGCTTGCCAAGCCTGGTGAAACCACTCCTGGCTTTGGTGGCGATCAAAGTAAGATCGGGACAGTTGTAGGTATGTATGTACGTACGTAGTTAAAAATTTCTGGAGGAGGTTTGGTTGATGGTAAGTGGATGCTGTGGCCCATAGACATCTATCTTCGATTAAGAATCAAAATGCGATGCGTTGTCACACCTCAGAACTAAGTTGGAATCTCTAAATAGATGCGACGAGACCCTTCAATTCAGCTATTATTGATGAAGTAATTGACCGACACCATGCTTAAAAGTCTTTGCTAAATATCTGTCTGCCAGAAAAAGCATAGTTGAAGGCTGACTGCGGCAGTGTCATTTTGGGCGACATTTTGAGATTGTGAGGTTCTACAGGTAGCTGCAGACATCATCGTTGGAACCACACGCAAGTGTGAGTAATCACCTATGATCCAAGAGCAACTCTCAACTGACACTGTTATGGTGTTATCCTGGACTTCAGTCTAAGCGAGATTTGAATAGCTTCCGATCATCTTAAAAAACAGCATGGCCCATTGCGAGGATCCAGTTAAAGCAGGGCTTTTGAACCAGTTCTTAATTGCCCCGAGAAGCAGTTCCATTCCGTTCACCATGGTGGCGTTAGTTTGGAGATGTGAAGCAAAACTGCGGAAAAAACCTTCTCCTAGAAAGACGACTATTGAAGAACTACGGACCGATTTCTTTCTGAGTCGCATCCACATGCTGTTTTAGAGAGGCATTTCGAATCGAATTCGAATATTCTCTTCACGTGACGACCTTCAGCCTCGCCAGCAAAATGGTTAAGTACCATAGATCATATAAATACCCTTCGGCAAATTTTACGGAAGACCGAAGAATACAATCTGCCACTTTAACCTGTGTGTGTAGCATATGATAAAGCCTTTAAATCTGCCGAAATTAGAGCGGTCCCTTAAGCGGGGCTAGATTTATGCGAAGTGTTTGTATAATAAAGGTACGATGGCTATCCTAAAAGTGGAACCTAGTACCTATTCAACAGAAGAGAGGTGTAAGACAGAGTGACATTATATATCCAAAACTCATCACTGCTGCATTGGAAGATACTTTCGAGTTTTTGGACTGGAATGGATTCGGTACATAAATGGCGAGTACATCTCACTCATTTTCAATTTACCGACGGTATAGTCTTTGTAGTACCGCAAGAGGACCTTACAAGGACCTTCAATGAACTCATTAGTCTCAAACGGTACGTCTATAGATGAACAGGAACACGACAAAGATCATGTGTAACGTTCATGTCACACCTATGCCAGTAGTTGCTGGGAACACTACGCTTGAAATTGTTGACGATATTTACCTTTTTAAATTGTTTTATCTTAAACCTAAAATAGCCAGACAGGTGTCGACGTGCTTCATCAAATATGCGAGACGTCTGTTGCTACGATCATTAAACCGCCTGACAATAGTTTGTCAGCAAATATTTGCTATAACGAAAGAGCGAGGACCTCTCCTGCAGTAGAGTTTCATTCATTTATTCATTACAGCCTGTCAAAGTCCATTACCATGCAATGGCAGTGTAAGAATATCCACTATCCCATGTTGTCCCGTCGGTGTCGTAAGAGGCGACAGAGGGAAACAAATCAGGAGATCGGCAGCAGCGTCTTTCTTATAACAATTTAAAAAAAAAACTGCGATTGCCAACCTGCTTTTCAAGCGCGACAACTACGTTAAATATTCTCCCTATGAAGCAATCTATGGGGAAGACCTATGTTCAGCAGTGGATTTTAATAGGCTGTAACGGTATCAAAGTCCACCGCTGAACATGGGTCTTTCTGTAGATAAGAGTTGATAAAAAAGTATCAATGCTGACCAATGCTGCACGTGGGCTGCTACAGAGTAATACATTACAGAGAGGATTTGCGCCTTTGAAGTTGCCCACTGTTATCTCTCATTTATCATTTACATACATACATACATAAACACTCACGCCCGTCACCCAGAGGGGTAGGCAGAGATTATGGACTTCCATTTGGCACGATCCTGACACACCTCTCTCGCTTCCTCCACATCCATATACCTACGCATATACGCTCGTCGGTTAAAGGTACTCTTGATATGGCCCATTTTTAATATATCGCCAATTTGGTCGATAAACTTTCGCCTAGGGCGACCCTTCCCGACTATGCCGTTCACCTCTGCAACATAGATTTGCTTTGTCACTCTTTCCTCATTCATTCTTTCTACATGGCCAAACCACCGAAGCATTCCTTTCTTAATCCTGGTCACAACATCATCTTGCAAACCACACTCTTCTCTTATTAAACAATTTCTCACTCTGTCATTCAGCTTCATCCCTAACATACTCCTTAATGACCGCATTTCTACAGCATTTATTCTACTCTCATGCTTCTTCTGCCACACCCAACTTTCACTACCATACATTAAAGTAGGTACTAACACGGCATTGTGAATTGCCATACGTGCCTTTTTGAACACATTCTGACTTTTCACAATAGAGTGTAGAGCCCCATTCACTCTATTTCCTGCATTCACTTGTCGTTCTATCCTTATCATATCTACCATCCCTGCTAAACACACATCCCAAATATGCAAACTCATCTACTTGCTCTACCAACTCCCCTTCTATTCTTATTTCACATATCATTTTGCTATTCATTTTGCTATCACATATATTTGCTATCATTTTGCTATATAAATTTATTATTTAATTTATAATATACCAATAATAGAAATAGTATTAGTAATATACAGACAACTTACTTTTTTAATTTTGGGCACTATCACTACAGCCTGTATTACAGCCAGTATTAAGTCAGCAACTGCACATGGGCCACTCTCATATATTTAACAAATTGCGGTTCCGGGCTACTTGCATCCATAGTCTACGTGCGTGTTTCATGAGGTAATCACTCCATCTTTTAGGCACTAAAAAAGTAGCACGCACCGTATACACTCGCTATTGAAAAGCCACTTATTCTGTTTGAATTTTAAAAATAATCAAATTAGGCTCCAACTTTATAACACCATCACTTAAAAGATTAGAAAAAAAAATATATAGAAATACTGAATATCAAATCTGAACACATTGCGTTCACACTAAACTATATTAAAAGAAGTGCTTATATAATTCCATAATTGTAACAATAACTTATTCAAGACGTAGAAATGTCACTGGCATGCGAGATAAACAACTCGTTGACTCTTCTTCCGTATATCCGATGTAGTGAACAAAATAATTTTAGAATACAGTTTGAAGGCCGATAGACAGAGTGTATACTATTTTTATTTGTAATGGTTTGTAGAGTTTATATTTACAAGATTAAAGTAATATAAATACCTACACTACATCCAACGGTTAGCAGAAGCCGTCATAACATTTAATAGCTATAGTACGCGAGGGTAACATCGTCATCGGGTTACTAAGGGCACTTTCTTATAACTCAAAAACTACAGCCTTATTTGCGTAGATGGCTGTGTGATACGATAGTTATTCATCAGTCAATCAAATAATATAGGGTCAAAAGTGCGCTGCTTTATCAACGCCATTTTGATTGTTGACATTATAGTAAATATTTTATTCGATTTTATTTATGTTTATAGATAGTTTATTTTTTAAATGTTCCTAATTATTGCAAAGCAAATTACAGCAATTTTTTCATTATATATTACTTACTAGCTTTTTATCCTCGGCTTTTCTCGCGTTGGTTTCAATTTAGAAATATCATTAATACTACTTCAATTAAAGTCATAATTTCATAAATGTATACAGGGATTATATTCATGAACGGGAGTAGAAATATAGAAAAGATGGGCAGTAGCGTCTTTCTGATTACAGCTCAAAATAACAAAAAGATGCAGTTGGCACGATTTTCGTAATCTATGGAGGGAATCGAAATGATGAACGGGAGTTCAAATATGTTAGCAATGTAGAGGCAGCGAAATAGAAACCAATACCTCATTTCGTCTTGTGGGTGTCGTAAGAGGCGACAGAAAGGAAACTGAAACAGGAGATGCATGGCAGCATCTTCCTGATAACAGTACAGAGTAATAAAAAGCTGCGGATACCAACCCACTCGCCAAGCGTGGCTACTACTGCAAATATCCGGCCTATTTGACAAACAATGGGAGAAGCCTATGATCAACAGTGGATAGGCCTATTAAAAGTAAAAAAGTAGCAGCCATATATTCCACAGTTAATTTACTCATGCCAGCTATGAAACCGGGTCTGTCACAAAAATCTCAATAGGTATGTCTGAAAACATGAAAGCTATGTTAATATACGACAAACTGTTTTAAAAGTCTCATTAAAAGTAAAAAAGTAAGGAAGCAGCTTACATAAGTCTTAGGACCGTGCACAGGGCTGCCAACTACCTATGTGCAAAATAGTGGTTTCACATGTCCACGATTTTTTTAAAAACTACTTGGACATCAAAGTATCGTCACCCAGTTATTATTTACCACTTTACTGAGCACATGGAAAATAAGCAAATAAAATTTCCTTACCAGTTACATTGTTCCTCGCGGGAATCGAACTCTCTTGTTACTGTGCATTGAAATCTTACGGCGAGCTACAGAGCTCTCTTATTTACTTAAATAAAACTCATGAAAACTGAAAAGAAGCTCTTGCACTGTTGTGGACCCCATCTACCTTGTAATTAGTCAATCAAACTATTCCATCGTTTAGATATTAAAATCTTACAGTCCACTTAATTTTCAATTATCGGTTTTGATACAAAAAGAAGTTCGTAAAATATTGCTATGCTGATAGACACCCAACATATTCAACTAAAGACATTTTGTCTTAATCACAGTTTTGTGTACACAGTTCTGTTAGTCATTTTACTAAAAGTAACAATAACAATAAATCATCCCGACACCGGTTTGAAAATTTTAAGTCTGACAGTTTTTGATGCTGGAAGAAAAAGTATACCTATACGCCGTCCACTACCATCTAGAGACGGCGAAGCCGGCCTTGCTCTTTCTGACCGAGACGCAGGTGTCCTCTCCGGCTGATACTGCGTACTTGTCCTGCCCGGGGTACAAATTAGAACACTTCTTTGTGCCTCGGGCTGGAGTTTGCGTATACGTCAGAGAGGATATCTGTTCTCGACGCCTCGGCAGTCTTGAAGGTACGGACCTGTCCATCCTATGGCTGCGCGTAGACAGCGACGACCATCCCCGCGTCTACGGGTGACTGTATAGGTCCCATAGCGGTAATGCCGACACAGACCGACTCATTGACCACGTCCAAATGGCTACAGACTTCTTGCTACAACAGATCCCATCCGTAGAGATCGTGATACTTGCCGATTTTAACGCCCACCACGCTTAATGGCTCGGTTCGCGTGGAACCGATCATGCGGGGAGATCTGTTTATGAATTTGCCTTGGCATATGGTCTAACACAACTAGTTACTTCGCCTACGCGGATCATACACCTTTCCTGTTGGACCTTCTGCTGACCTCTCATCCGGACGGATATCAGGTTTCCGTCGATGCCTCTCTTGACTCTTCAGACCATTGTCTGATCTGGAGTGTGGTGCCACTCACGCTGCCCTCGCAGTTGCGTTCTGCAGGTTGCCGCCGTGTTTGGCATTACAGGTCGGCGGATTGGGACGGAATGCGCTCTTTCTTTGCTTTCTACCCATGGGGGCGGGTTTGCTTCTCGCCAGATGATCCCAGCGCTGTTGCTGACTCTGGCACTGATGTGGTGCTACAGGGAATGGAACTATTTATTCCATCATGTGTGGTACCCATCGGAGGCAGATCTCAGTCTTTGTTTGGTCGCTCCTGTAAGACTGCTTTACGCAGTAAGCAGGAGTGTTATCAAGCCTGGGCTGCGGCTTCGGCGACTCGGGATGTAAACACCAGTATATTCAAAAAGAAGTATAACTTCGCCCCCAAGTCCTTCAAAAGATTTATTGCCAAGGCAAAGTCAGAGCACGTAGGCAGAATTGGCGAGAAACTAGTTCGCCTTCCTTCGGGAACCCGTGCATTCTGGTCTCTCGCCAAGGCTGTCCAAGGGAATTTCTGTAAGCCATCACTACCATCTCTGCACAGGGAGGACGACTCCCTGGCCCACGACGCAAAAGAGAAAGCCGACCTTTTAGGCTCCCTTTTTGCGTCCAATTCAACTGTTGATGACGGGGGGAACACACCGCCGACCATCCCGCGGTGTGAGTGCTCCATGCCGGATGTGCGCTTCTCACAGTGCTCGGTTCGCAGAGCACTCCTCTCTCTTGACATCCACAAGTCGAGTGGGCCTGACGGAATCCACCCAATTGTGCTGAGGACGTGTGCTCCGGAGTTGGCACCGGTTCTAACGCGTTTTTTCCGGTACTCCTACTCCCTAGGCGTAGTCCCGAAATCATGGAAGACGGCTTTTGTCCACCCGAACCCTAAAAAGGCGACCGCTCAGACCCGTCCAACTACAGGTCTATCGCTATCACCCCCTTGTTCTCCAAAATAATGGAATCCGTTATAAACTGCCACCTCATGCGGTACCTTGAGGATCACCAGCTGATTAGTGACCGCCAGTACGGTTTTCGTCGGGGTCGATCAGCTGGTGATCTTCTGGTCTACTTAACTCATAGATGGGCGGAGGCAGTAGAGTCCAAGGGGGAGGCATTGGCCGTTAGTTTGGACATTGCGAAGCCTTCGATCGGGTTTGGCACAAAGCGCTTCTTTCGAAGCTCCCTTCGAAAGAAAAGGCTTCCCGAGAAATTATGCAATTGGATCACCAGCTTTCTTGCAGATCGGAGCATCAAGGTCGTTGTAGACGGTGCATGCTCCGACTACAAGCCTATTAACGCTGGTGTTCCACAAGGCTGCGTGCTATCACCAACGCTGTTTCTTCTGCATATCAATGATAAGTTGCAAGCCGGTAGCATTCATTGCTATGCGGATGACAGCACTGGTGATGCTCTATACACCGGCCGTGCCAATATTTCTCGGGAAAATGTCGCCGAGTACCGGTACAAACTTGTGTCTGAAGTCGAGACCTTGTTGAACCAAGTCTTGGATTGGGGCGACTAAACCTAGTCCAGTTCAATCCCCAGAAGACACAAGTTTGCGTGCTTAACATATCGAGTGTCGTGCAGTTTCATGGTCACTTGGAAGGGAAGGCCCAATTGGCCTCTAAAAAGCTTGGCGTGCTCAGCAGAGCGGGACAGTATTTCATGCCGGCACACTGCCTACAACTTTAAAAGGCGCAGGTTCGGCCTCACATGGAATATTGTTTTCATCTCTGGGCAGGGGCTCCCCAGTGCTAGCTCCTTCCACTTGAACGCATCCAGCGCAGAATGGTTCGAATCGTCGACGACCGAGTTCTTTCCGATCGGCTTGACTCACTGACATTGGGTAGAGATGTTGCATCTCTTTGCGTATTTTATCGCATTTACCATGGGGAGTGTTCTGAAGAATTGTTCGGACTAATTCCAGCCGCTAAATTTCACAATCGCAAATCGCGACAAAATTTGCGATACCATCCATACCACCTGGATGATTGGCGGCCTACCACTGTGCGATTTAGAAGATGTTTTCTTCCTCGCACAACTTCCTTGTGGAATCAATTACCACCAGCGATTTTTCCAGACCGATACGACTTAGGGACCTTTAAGAAAAGAGCCTACACCTTCTTAAAATGCCGGCAACGCATCTGCAAGTCCCCTGGTGTTGCAGTTGTTCATGGGCGGCGGTAGTCACTTACCATCAGGTGAGCCGCATGCTCGTTTGCCCCCTCCTATAAAAAAAAAACAGTACCCTCTAGTACTCAGTGACAATGTGTTGAGGTGCGACTGGTGTGGCCCAATCACACAACAAAGCCGCCAACATTTATATAGTACATAAATTAAGCATAAAATGTAGTAGATTCTATTAAAATTTAAAAATTCTGCATCTGTAACAAATATGCTATCAGTGCTGCTAGCGGTGTGTAATGAAATTATTTTACGATATAACCATATAAAGAAATAGCAATGTAGTGTTTAGTTGTTAAAATCGCAAATTGTGTTTAGTTGTTAATGGTCAAGCTATATCATGATATAGTCAAAAAACAATGTCAAATTTCATTAAATGTCACCATTTCGTGCCATAATTAACTACTTTATGATACTATTAATTCTAAG